TGTTTGACCATAAGGTAAGATTTTGTAGACTCTTTTTAACCTTTTATAATATTTGCTAAAGAGCAGGTTGGTGCTTTAAGAAAAATGTGTTATGCTTTTACTTTAATGTCCAGTTCACAGAAAAACTGGATGATACTTTTTTAACTTTAACTAATATGTTTACATACAGAATTTTCTTTTTTTTTTTTTTTTTTTTTGAGACGGAGTCTCACTTTGTCGCCCAGGCTGGAGTGCAGTGGCCAGATCTCAGCACACTGCAAGCTCCGCCTCCCGGGTTTACGCCATTCTCCTGCCTCAGCCTCCCGAGTAGCTGGGACTACAGGCGCCCGCCACCTCGCCCGGCTAGTTTTTTGTATTTTTTAGTAGAGACGGGGTTTCACCATATTAGCCAGGATGGTCTCGATCTCCTGACCTCGTGATCCGCCCGTCTCGGCCTCCCAAAGTGCTGGGATTACAGGCTTGAGCCACCGCGCCCGGCCAGAATTTTCTTTACAATTAATGTTTTAAAACTTGCTTAAACCTTCAAAACAATAATTTTTTAAAAAGTTTTTAATGTAGGTAAAAATGTACATTCTTATGCCATCTTATAATCTTTTTACCAAAGGTATATTTTATTTTTCTTATACACCTTGCACATAAACTGTTTTATTCCCCCATAGTTTTACATTCAGAAGGCTTAGTTACATTTAAATTATACAACATTTTTTGCATAAATTCTTTTTTATAACTTTTTTTAATAACCTTTTTTTCTTTCATGACTTTTACAGGCAATTTTTTGACATGCCTTAACTTTCTGACTTATTACAAACATTTCTTTCTTTAAACAACCAGTTAATTTATTTCAGGACAAGAATTTACTATATAACATTCTTTTTATATAAATCCCCTCCCCCCTCCCTTGGTTTCTTTTTCTTTTGTTAGCAAAACAGTTGCCGCTACAGATTGAATGCATTTGGGCCATCCATGGGTTACTGGGTTAAGGATTTTTGATAGGAAAGCCTCACTGCTTTCGGGATATGCCCTTGTTTACACTGACAACAAAGTGGTATTGGAGGGTTATAGGGTTACAGAGAATACCTTCAATTATTAATTATAGGTTTTAAATTTACCTTGACTTTCAAAGGAATAAGGTACACTCCTTTTTTTTTTTTTTAACTACTTGTATATCTCTGGTTCTTTCTCTCTTTGACTTTGTTCTCTCTCTTTGACTTTCCTTTTGCCTCCATCTCTTCTCTGTCTCTGCCATTCTCTCTCTGCCATTCTCATTCTTTCTCTCTCTCCTCGACTCCCTCTTTGTCTGTCTCTTCCTCTCTCTCTTTGCCTCTTTTCCTCTCTACCTCTTTCCTTTCTTTCTCTCTGCTGATCTTTCCTTGCCTCTGCCAGCTGCTTATGCTGCTGTTCTCTAAACCACTATGTGTTTGGGGCAGGGGGTCTAAAACCAGCTGTAACCAAGTGTCTAAGTACAGTAATTGGTCTGGGTTCCTTGGCTTACAGGTTACCTTGTGCCATATCTTTGAAACAAGGGACCTGTCCAGGCTTCCTTCTTTTTTTTTTTTTTTTTTTTTTTTCTTTTTGAGACAGAGTGTCTCTCTGTTGCCCAGGGTGGAGTGCAGTGGTGCGATCTCGGCTCGCTGCAAGCTCCACCTCCTGGGTTCATGCCTTTCTTCTGCCTCAACCTCCCGAGTAGCTGGGACCACAGGTGCCCGCCATTGCACGTGGCTAATTTTTTTGTATTTTTAATAGAGACGGGGTTTCACCGTGTTAGCCAAGATAGTCTCGATCTCCTGACCTCGTGATCCACCCACCTTGACCTCCCAAAGTGCTGGGATTATAGGCGTGAGCCACTGTGCCCAGCCCAGGCTTCCTTCTAATGGCCAACCTACCTCTAATGCTGGCCAGTCTATCTTACACAAAGTTTTAAGTTTTCCTGGTGTCATAGTACTCCATAGTCTCCTTTAAATGTTTTTTTCAAAATTTTCAACGTGGTTCCTAGTAGGGTGGACTTAATTGTGCCTGACCTACGCTTCTTCAAGACAAAACACCACGCTCACACCACACGCACACCACAAAACAGAGAACGAGTAAAAAGGGCACATGCACACTTTTGCAGTTTGCACAAAACCAAAATCAAAACCAAAATCAGAGTATCCAGAAATCCAAGCCAGGTCAAAACCAAAACCAAAGTATCAAGCAAGCCAAGTCAAGTCAAAAATAAAAACCAAAGTGCTGGTACAGGCACACCGTGGGTGATCAGGCCACACTTCCACTCCAATGGAGTAGGCAAGTTCCCAAAACCAATCCTGTCAAGCAGTTCAAACCAAGTCAAAACCAAAACCAAAGTGCCGATAAAGGCACACCATGGGTGATCAGGCCACGCTTCCACTCAGATTTGGCAAGTTTCAAAGACTAGTCTTACCAAGTTTTAGATGTCCAGACTCCAAGTGCCCGTTCCTTCCAGGTATTCAGCCACTGCTTTGATCCTCCACAGGGGCCTGCCACACACTGCTCTGGCGAGGCGCCCCACCGGGGCAAATACCTACCCGGGAGTGCTCTCAGGATCCGGGTCGCTCGGGCTGCTTGGGGTCCCACTCAGGGATGTTCCACAGGGCAGGCTTAACCCACCTAAGGAGCTGCCTCAACCGTCCACCAATCATCTCACTTCCTGGTTAGGGAACCAAGAAATATAGCAGGACGAGCCGCAAACAACACTCCTCAGACACCAAGTTAAGGAAGGGGTTTATTCGACCAGGGGCATCGGCAAAACTCCTGTCTCAAGAACCGAGCTCCCTGAGTGAGCAATTCCTGTCCCTCTTAAGGGCTCACAACTCTAAGGGGGTGCATGTGAGAGGGTCGTGATTGATTGAGCAAGCAAGGGGTATGTGACTGGGGCTGCATTCACTGGTAATTAGATCAAAACAAAACAAGATAGGGATTTGCACAGTGCATTTCTATACAATGTCTGTAATCTATAGATAACAGAACCTATTAGGTCAGGGGTCGATCTTTAACTACCAGGCCCAGGGTGTGGCGCCGGGCTGTCTGCCGTGGATTTCATTTCTGCCTTTTAGTTTTTACTTCTTTCTTTGGAGGCAGAAACTGGGCATAAGACGGTATGAGGGGTGGTCTTCTCTCTTAATGTGACCTTAGGAAAGTTATCTCAACTCTGCCCTTCCTGTTCTATGAACTGAGGATAATAAAAAGTATCTGCTTTATAGGGATTTTGTGTGGAGAAAATAGGATAATTTATTTGAAATATTTGGCATTGTGCCTGGCCCATGCACTGTAAAAGTTGGCTGTGTACTGATTTTATTTGTAATATTAGGTTAACAGCATGGAAGACAGCACGTTATTAGGCTCATTCTTTAGGTCCATTATTGACTGATCATTTATTTGCTCATCTCTCAAGTTAGCAGGGCCTGTTCATTTTTAAATCACTTCCGTTACCTCCAGAGCAATGGCATTCTTGCCACACACTCTCACTTGCCCCATTTCCACAACTCTATCTCACCTTGACTTTTGCAATGATTCTCTAACAAGCCACTTAACTGCTCTTCTCCAAACCATGTTTGACAAATCACAACTCTGCTTATCTCTCACCTATGTTGTATTTTATTACACATTTTTCTACATCGAAATATCCAAATGCTTACTCTAGTATACCTTTCAACCTTTTTTTTTCATTGCTTTCCTTCATCTTTAGCTAGTTGCTGAAACTGAACTGTTCTTTTTCATCTTGCATTTGTTTGCTTTTGCTCACGTTTTTGGGTGTTTTTTTTTTTTTTTTTTTTTTTTTTCCTGAAATGTTTTCCCATCTCTGCATATCTGAGGCATGATTCCAAAAACTCCACTCTCCCACTTGAACACACTCACAAACCCATACCACCTACTTGGGAATAATGACTACTTCTGAACTGGTTAGACTTTTATTTCTTATCTTACACCTTGTATTATAGTTTATTTTAAAATCTGCCTTATTTCAGTAAGGATTTTGGGCAACTTACAAACAGGCAACACACACAAAAAAATAAAAAGTGGGAAAATCTGAATAAAGAAAATATAGATAAGATGAAGCCAGTGATGACATTAGTTTCCAATCCTACCATTAGATTCTGTGAAGTGGCTAGAAGTGGGCCATATATTTGGCTCTAAGATTTAGAGTAGCCAGCACAACATCAGATACATAAGTCATCATCACCGAAGTCATACAATGAAGTCAGAATATTTACTTAGGACATGCATAGCAATTCCCCGTTCCAAGGCCAGACAGCAGAGTCTCTTGTGGATCCATCGTATGAATTATAGTTACTTTGAGTATAGTGATTTCTGTTCATGTGGTTTCCTGCATCCTCTTTCCAGTGTCCTTGAGGGGTAGGTTCTATGTATACCCAAAGTACCTAATAGAACTTTGCAAATAAGCATTTGTCCAATTTAAGTTAATATTAAAATGTTTGCCTTCTTGAAATTTTGACCTTTCAGTCATAGCCCCATCCTTCAGGACTACATATGCAGTCTAATTCAGAGGTCACGAATTTATGCCTCTAGAAACTAAGAAAGTATTATAAATGTGTAAATGGCATAGGTACAATTAAGGGTAGTAGGCCTTGTGTGGAATTAGGACAGTGCTGTCCTACAAAAGGAATTAAAATTCTTTTTTTTTTTTTCATTTTTTAAATACTGTGCTAGCCAAATAGAGTACAACTCAGGTGCTGCTAGTATTATCCCTTGTACTAATCCCTTTTCTTGTTGCAAAATCATGACCGTATTTCAGAAGATGTTTATCAAGTAGTTTTATCTTTCAAATAATTTTCTACCTCAGGTTATTTGGGCTCATTCTTATTCTGGGTTAACATTACCCAAAAAATACCGAATTGTTTTTATTAATACTTAAAATCCTAACTTGGGATTATTAGTTTAAGAAAGCCTACAACATGCTATACATTATGCTTATTATTTTTGTAAAATATTGTATGATTAACAAATTATGTTACTTTTTATTTTAGGGTATAAATGGTTTTGAGGTTCAGAAACAAAACTGTGGCTGGCTACTAGTTACACATAAACCTTGTGAAAAAGATGATGTGGTAAGTTTTGGAAATAAACTTTTAAATTCAGGTACTTTAAATACATATGACAAGAATAGAAAATTCAAAGTAATTTATATGCAGAATTATAATGGCTGAAGATTATGAAACCTAGAGAGCTTTCATTACAATGACTTTTTTTGGGTTGTAGGAGATAAAAGTATGGAAGCATTACTTACTGCTACTCAACACATCCTTTTGGACATAGCAGAAAGTTCATAGATATTGGACAACTATTGGATCCAAATTTTGAATTTTAATTCTGCTATTTGATAACCCTGTAACCTAGAACAAACTGTAGAAAGAGAAGGGGATTAGCACTATCTCTGTGTTACCAGCTTTACTGATATAAATAAATTATACATGACTTACCTGCACTGCTTTTTGAAAATCTTCATATCTCTGCTGGGTTATTTAGTTCCCTAAGATAAAGAGTTTCGATGAATTCATAAGTTTTTATCAGCCAGGCACTTTTTATTCCCAGTGAATTTACAAATCCAATTCTGTTTTAAGCAAAAAAGATTATTTAACTGGAAAGGACGGATAGAGCTTGAATCAAGTATTGCTGATTCAGATGTTCAAATCTTATCTTCTGAGTACCCACTTCATCTCCATCTTTGGGCAGTGGTTCTCTTTGCAGTGTGCCTTTATTCTCTTCTGCTGCAGATAATCTTTGTTGCAGAAATGGTAGCTGCTAGCAACACCAGTAGAAAAAGAATTCCTTTTCCTGCAATTCATGTGTTCATCCTAGAGAAGGACTCAGAGTTGTCCTGCTTACATTAGGTGCTCTCTCTCTTAGGTCAATTAATTTTGCTAGTGGACTATAATAATATCCTTGATCAGACATAAGCAAGCACTTGGCACCTCTGATACTGTGATAGGGAGAGTGATGTGTGACAGGGTAATGATTGACAGCCCTACCAGAAATCAAATGGCGTGAAGGAGGGATGATGTTGCCCAGGGATACTGGGCAGACAGAAATAATAACTGTCTTGTATAAATTATAGCTCAGACACAATATTACATGTTTCACTAGGTGGTCAGACTATGCCGCCGGATGCACTGTAACATCGGTGCAGCCAAAGTTAAAAGGCAGGCAAGTGCTACCTAGGGAAGAGACTAGTACATGACTTAAGGTCACTAACAACAACAAACAAACCTAGGGTCAAGTGTTGTAACATTTGCTTACAGCAGGAGGAAAGAGAGTACACAAGATCTAGCCCTTCAATGTGTCAGTCCCCATGGCTAGCAGATGGGTTCCACAGCTGATCAGGGCAGAGTGATGGCATGTACCCCACTTTGTGCTGCAGTAGCCCCCAGACCCTGACCACTGCCCCATAGGATCTGAAATACAGAAAGCTAGGAACATGCTCAGGGGCCATTTGGTCTCATGTAGCTAAGCAGTTCCAAGGGAATTGTATGTGTGCCTATTACAGAGGGAACAGGAACTTGCTGGCTGTGCACTGAGCTCTTTGCATGCACGGCTATTTGTGAGCTTAATAGTGCTGCTGGTAAGCACTGGTGCTTGGTACAGAATGCTTCTTGGGAACATGGGTGGCAGTTAGGCTTTGTTTGGACCCTTCTCTTACATTACATTTCTCTGTATCTCAATCTAACAAAAAATTTAAACAATCCTAATACAGTTTTTATACTCCATTCCTTAATGAAAGATCTGTTACAGAATTAAATACAGTAGTAGTTTACTTCTTCAAAGTACACTAATAGATGGAAAGAATGGTATAGAAGATTTATGGGAGAACTAGAAATTTTGAGAAAATAAGCAAATTTTGGGTGAAAAAGAACCAAGAAAGCAGAGGGAAAAGTTATTGCAGAAAAAAAATATGCTGAGTGATTCTGAAAATTTCTAAGGGAAATTGAAGTTATGTATGGGGTAAAGGGTAATCAAAGGACAAGACATAGGCTTGTGTCTGATACCACTTTTCATTTATTTAGATTGTAGCTCTGAAGAAAGCAAATGGTGATGCCACTTTGAAATTTGAACCATTTATTCTTCACGTGCAGTGTCAACAATTGCAGGATGCACAGATTCTGGTAAAATTTTGTTGTAATTGTACTTAAATTTATAGATATGTGGGTAGATGCAATTTTAAGCTTTTAACCTGCTATAAACATCAATGAGATATTACCTTATTCAGCTAGTTATATGTTTATTATTAATTGGTCTGCTCAATCTATTCATTTTTAATTTTAGGAAAAAAGAGTACCTAATCATTACTAGGAAAATATAAGTCCCAGGTTATGGCTCCTGTTTTCTTTCTTAACATTTTTATTTATAAATTGTACTTCAGCATTCTATATTTTGTTTTTGTTTGCCAAGCTTTAAGAAAAAATACTGTGGAACTACATGTGCAATTAAGCATTTTAAAGACTATTTCATTTTTCCCATTTAAATGAGCATGAGGTAAATATCTGTTTAGTCTTGATTCTCCTTTTTATACCTTTTGTATATTTATATATAAAACTAAATTGTATTTTAAGTAACAATAATGTATTGAGTCTCAGTGTGTCAAGTACTAGGGGCACAGCGATAAACAAGATTAGAGACTGTCTTGCTTCCTCTCCCAAAGTTAGGAGACAGCAAATACAAACAAGTGAACAGGCAAATAAAATAAAATTAAATTTAAAAAAAATGCAAGTTGCAAAATGTTCTACCAAAGGAAAAACAACCTGGTAATAGAGAACAGTGCAAAAAGCTGCTGACTTGAAGACAGGCTTCTCTGAAAACGTTTCTTTAAGCTAGGACTTACAAGGAACAGAAAGAGCTAGGCATGTAGCTGAGAAATGAACGTTCCAGGAAGATGGAAAGGTATATACAAGGTTTCAGTGGGTCTAGAGAGTGGAAAGAAAGTGCGAGAAGGAGGCTGAGGCCAGGTCAGTTAAGCTTTGTAGACCAGATTAAAGAGTTTGAATTGCTTTCTGAGTTCAGGGAAAAGTTATTGAAGCGACAGTTTTAAGCAAAGAGTGGCTTTCTAGGTTTCTGTTCTGAAAAACTCAGTTCTGCTCCAGCATAGAGAAAGGAGTGCAGTAAGTGAAAAGAGATGAGTTAGGAGTAGTTTGCGGTGATTTAAGTGGGAAGTGGTGGTGGGTTGGCCTAAAGTGATAGCACCAAAGCAGGTGAGAAAGGAATAGATTCAAAATATATTTCAGCGTTTGAATCAACAGACTTGTAAGGTTGCCTGGGGAAGGACAGCCAGAGGGAGGAGGAGAAAGAGGAATCAAGGATAACTATTTAGGTCTGGCTGGAGACCCTGGCTCTATGGTAGTAGCCTTTATCCAGATGGAGTGTGCTGAAGTTGAAGTGTGTCCAGAATTGGTTCCTTCCGGTGGGTTCTTGGTCTCGCTGACTTCAAGAATGAAGCCATGGACCCTTGCGGTGAATGTTACAGTTCTTAAAGATGGTGTGTCTGGAGTTTGTTCCTTCAGATGTGTTCAGAGTTTCTTCCTTCCGGTGGGTTCTCGGTCTTGCTGACTGAAGGAGTGAAGCCACAGACCTTCGCAGTGAGTGTTAGAGCTCTTAAAGGTGGCGCGTCCAGAGTTATCTGTTCCTCCTGGTGGGTTCGTGGTCTTGTTGACTTCAGGAGTGAAGTTGCAGACCTTCTCAAAGAGTGTTACAGCTCTTAAAGGTGGCGTGTCCAGAGTTGTTTGTTTGTCCCAGTGGGTTCATGGTCTCGCTGACTTCAGGAATGAAGCTGCAGACCTCTGCAGTGAGTGTTACAGCTCATAAAGGTAGTGTGGACCCAAAGAGTGAGCAGCAGCAAGATTTATTGTGAAGTATGAAAGAACAAAGCTTCCACAGCTTGGAAGGGGACCTGAGCAGTTGCTGCTGCTGGCTAAGGTGGACAGCTTTTATTCCCTTATTTGGCCCTGCCCATGTCCTGCTGATTGGTCCATTTTACAGAGTGCTGATTGGTCCATTTAACAGAGTGCTGATTGGTGCGTTTACAGTCCTTTAGCTAGACACAGAGCACTGATTGGTGCATTTTTACAGAGTGCTGATTCGTGCATTTACAATCCTTTAGCTAGACACAGAGCACTGATGTGTTTTTAGAGTGCTGATCACTGCATTTACAGTCCTTTAGCTAGACACAGAGCATTGATTGGTACATTTTTAGAGTGCTGATTGGTGCATTTACAATCCTGGAGCTAACAGAAAAGTTAGTCTCCACTCGACCCAGGAAGTCCAGCTGGCTTCACCTCTCAATCCCCGCTCCAAACAGGGCACCCCAAATGCTGTTGGGAATTGGGCGATGACGGCTCTAGCTACTTCCTGCTGGATAGGGGCAAAGTAGGGGCCCTGCAGTTGTAGTGTCCTCCAGAGGGGAACTCTTTAGGCCAGTGAAAGGGCCAGCAGGTCGATCCAGGGGTCCTTGGTAGAAGTTGTTAGTTGAACTCATTTGGCTACGGTATGTAGTCCTATGGCAAAGAGTATGGTTAGTATGCTGCTTAATAATATGATGAAATAGTAAAAGGATTCCATTAAAGGGACAAAGAGAGGTGTTAAAAGATTATGTAGATTTTCACTTATCTTTTTTAAGGAGGAAGGGGTTTTTCTTCCTCAGGATCAGTGATAGGAGCCTTTTTAGTCTGGGATGTTTCCTTCCGAAATAGGAGATGCAAGTCCTCTAGTGGTTTGCAGGTGTATCAAGGCTGGTCTGGCTGATCTTGGGACTCCTGAGCTGATGGTCCTGCAGGTTTCTCAGGGGTATCCAAAATTTAACTGGGGTGTGGTGAACCCATGATTCCACTCCTGCCACCTTAATTGCAGTGGGAGTAGAGAGGATTACCGAGTATGGTCCTTACCACAAAGAATCCATAGATCGGGAGGTAGAGGGGAGAGATTTAACCAACACTAGAGCTCCTGGTTGAAACAACTCTGTTCCCTTTTCTCTGTGACATCATTCAGGTAGGTTTTTAAGGTTTCGTTGATACTTTGCCAAAGAAGTTACATCTTTGACCAAGTTGGCCTTTTCCTGATCCAGTAGCAGGTCATTTGTGAGGAAAGGTCGTCCATACAGCATTTCATATGGACTGAGCCCCATTTTGTGAGGAGAATTTTGGATTCTCAACAATGCCATGGGCAAAAGAGTAAGCCATGGGAGAGGAGTTTCTTGTGTTAGTTTCCTTAAGTGCCTCTTGAGTGTTTCATTTGCCTTCTCGACGTTGCCTGAGGATTGTGGCCTCCAGGCACAGTGAAGGTGATATTGTATCCCTAGTGCCCTGGAAATTCCCTGAGTTATCGTGGCTTTAGAACCTGGACCATTGTCGCTCTGTAAGCTTTGGGGAAGCCCAAATCTAGGAATTATTTCGTAAATTAGGACTTTAATCACTTCCTGAGCCTTCTCTGTCTTGCAGGGGAAAGCTTCTATCCAATTTGCAAATGTATCAACACAGACCAACAATTATTGAAACCCCTTTGACATAGGCATATGGGTGGAAGTCTAATTGCCAGTCCTCTCCGGGATAGTGACCTATTCTTTGTTCCCCCAAAGGTGCCTGAGGATGGACCAAGGGGTTATTCCTTTGGCACACCTCACATGCTTTGACTACCTGTCGGATGGTCCGGAGGAGATTCGGCCCTGTAAATAGGGATTTGGCCATTTGATGAGTGTTTTCAGTACCCATATGAAAAATTTGGTGGAGGGTTTTAAGTATTTTCCACTGGCTAGCTTTGGGTATAAGTACCTTTCCTTCTTCTGTCGTTAACCACCCTGAGGGGAGAAAACTATGCCCCCGTGAAAGTGCCCATTCTGTTTCAGTCGGGGAATACTGGGGCTTAATCTCTTGGAGGGGGTTGCTCCATACCAAGGGTCCTTCTGTAGGTATTTCTAATGGGAGGTTCTTCTTGGCAGCAATTTTGACCTTGGCATCTGCCTGACAGTTTCCTTCTGCCTTTTCTCCTTCACCTTTCTGATGGCTTTGGCAGTGTAAGACTGCTACCTCCTTGGGCTTTTACACTGTGTGCAATAACTCCATGATTTCCTTGTGGTATTTAATGGGGGTTCCCCCAGAGGTTAGAAACTCCCTTTCTTTCCATATTGCAGCATGGGCATGTAGGATTAGATAAGCATACTTACTATCTGTAACAAAGTCTCCCAATTACAACTGAGGAGGTGGGAGAAATACCTGGTTACAGGCTGTCTGAGGATTCCTTGGATGGTAATGGACCTTGAGGACAGCTCTCCAGGACAGGAGATTAACCCTGAGAAAGCTGTGCCAGTGTCCAGGAGGATGTCAATTTCCTGGCCCTCAATGGTTAAACGTACCCAGGGCTCAGTGAGGGTGATGACATGAGCAAGTGCTTGCCCTGGGCACCCTCAGTCCTGTTGTTGGATCATCTGGTTGTGGGCTTCTGGCACAGAGAACCTTTGTTCTCTGGGGCAGTGCACCTTCCAGTGATTGCCTTGGCATAGCAGACATGGACGAGGGGGCGGCTTCTCATTGGACAATCTTTTTTAAGGTGTCCTTGCAAACCACACTGGTAACAAGTCCCACTGGGTGATTGTCCTGCTCCCTTTTCTGTCATCTCTGAACCACCAAGGTTTGTTTGTCTGAGGGCCATGACTAAGGCTGTGGCGTTTCTCTGATCTTGCTTTTCCTTTGGACCTGTTCCTCTTGGACCTGATTATAGAACACCAACGTTGCCACATTTAATAATGCCTCCAGATTTGGTTCAGGGCCCAGGGCTCACTTTTGGAGCTTTCTTCTGATATCTGCTGCTGATTGGATAATCAACTTATCTTTAAGGATCAACTGACCCTCGAGTGAGTCAGGTGACAGGGGAGTATATTTTCTTAAGGCCTCCCATAGCCTCTCGAGGAAGGCAGAAGGATTTTCTTCCTTTCCCTGAGTTATAGTGGACATCATTGAATAATTCATGAACTTTTTCCTAATTCTCCTTAGTCCTTCTTGAACACAGGTCAACAGATGTTTATGACTCCAGTCCCCATGATCTTGAGTCGGGGTCCCAGTGGGGATCCATACTGGGGACAGTGCTGACCGGTAGGGAATTTGTCCCTTTCTTCAGCTGTCAT